CATTCTTCAAATATTGAATGAAGATTGTTTGTGCAGCACCCCACCTTGGCAGTAAAAAGGGTGATCATGACACGTGACCTTGTCTTAAAAAAAACTTACATTCTAGACTAGGAGTTGGCAAACTTTTTCTATAAAATGCCAGTAAATATTTTAGGCTCTGTGGGCTAAACCCTCTGTTTAGGACTCCCCAGCTCAGCTGCTATAGTGTGAAAGCTGCCACAGATGACTCATAAATATGTCTCAATAAAACTTTATTTACAAAAACAGACCACAGGCTGGACTGGCTTACAGGTTTTTGGACCCTATATAGCGGACCTAGTGGACAGTTAAAGAGGAATTCAGTGGGTAAGTTTCTGTGATAGGTCAGGTACAAGATTCTGTATGTGAAACATGGACAAGAGGGACTGACCCTGATGAGAGTGTGTGGTCTTTGAAGCCTTTCTAGAGCCATGATGTTTACACTGAAGCCTTAAAGATGTGTAGGAATAGCCAGGTGAAGGGGGTATGATTTAGAAGGGTGAGAGAACGGGTAGATATATATAGAGAACAAATATTCTAGACAATAGCTGGGCCGGAAAACAGAGAACCAAATGAAGATTTGACAAGAAATTCTCTTGGTCTAGAAGAGGCTGACATGATCTGTATTTCACGTCGGAGGAAGCAGCCCCTCAGAGTTCTCACGTGGCAGAGCAGGAACTGAAGTTCTCTTACCCATGCAGACAGTTTCAAGGTTCAATCAGTTTAGTGCCAGGACTTTACATTTTAGAAAGACTGAACCACATGAAATGTGCTGCCTGGGTAACTTCATTTTGTCTATCGGGTGGCCTGGCAGGAGGCAGCGTGCTTCTTGGGGAACATAAGAAACTTGAGAAAGAGGAGAGCCAGGCAGGGACAGCGATCCGCCTGCTCCCACGAGGCGTTTTCTGCGAGAGCAAGACGTCTGTCCCTCACTACCGAGGAAACTAAGTGAGCTAACCAGCAGAGCTAACACCTTTCCTGTGTTGAGGGCTCTCTCATGCCCACCTGATGCTGAATTTGGTGGGGCCTGCCTAGAGAGAACTCCAAGGGGGCCAGGGGCCGTTTCCTGTCGCCTGGACACAGACGGAACATACTCGTTTCTCAGTCAAGGACCTTGTGGGAAGCAGCATGATGTCGTGGAAGGGGCTGCTGCCATAAGATGAGACACAAGTTCAAATCCTACTTTACCTACTGTGTGTCTGTAGCGAAGTCAAGCTCTCTACATCTCCGTTTTCTCCTCTGTAAAACAGAATATTGTTTTTATTGGGTTGGCCAAAAAGTTTGTTCAGGTTTTTCCCTACAGTGTTACAGAAAAACTCAATACCTCGCAGAGTTGTCAAAAAGAAGAAAGTAAAAAAGCGCTGTAAATCTATAGCACTGGGGCCAGACCTGTAGGAGGTACCCAGAAGTCTTGCAGAGTTGGAGTTGAATCTTTATGGCTCACCTGCCTTTTTCAACCCTACTTGTTGTGACTCAGAAGAGGGATGGCTGAAGGGATAAGAGTGAATAATTGTTTCATGATTGGAGAAACAATGCAAAGGATTTGACGAGTTTTTCAGAGGGGGTCGGAGTGTATATATGCAGAATACTACTTTATGACTCTGCTCTGTGCTTTAAAAAGCATCAGCAAAGGAGCTCATGGCTATCCTAGAACAGTCTGCTACTACATTCTCAATGGAAGCCACTCATCTCCTCTAACATGGAAATTTTAATGAATTTAAACCCAGTGTAAATGTTCACCTCTCTCTCTTTTAAGTGCATTACACAAGGTAAGGTGAAATCATTTCCCATCCAACTGTAAATTCACAGCAGTTCCTTCCCATCCCAACTTCTATAGGGATTCCCTCCCTGTGGGATATGCGATGACAGGACTAGTGTGACAGAAATGGCCTTCTGGCTACCCTTGAAGCTCCTCGGTGTTTCTCGCAGGCTCATCCTGTCAACCAGAACCTCAGGGTGTAATTCCCATCAGAGCTGTCCTCCCACTTGTGGTGGTTTTTATAAGGTGATCTGATGCTTGACTTCTTAGGTATCTCCAACCCCATAATGTAATCTGAGGGCACCTCAGGGATTCTTAGGGAGTCTAAATGAAAACAGAAAGCCAGACAGGATGCAAGGGGTACCTTTTATATCTTCTGTTTACTCCTTGTCACCTGCTGCAAGGGTGGAAGGGAGAATCTTGAACTCTGTGGGAGGACTTCGAGCTCACTTGGTATGTGACAACTCATGTCCTGTTAGCAGGCGGCCAAGGCCTCATATCTTCCCATCCTGTTTCTCTGGAGCCCCAACCCTTCCCAGGCATGACTTCTAGCTTGGAAACTCAACTCTGCAGACCACTGGAGCCGTCAATCATCAGTGGGACTGGGGCAGTCACTGATGGAGACGTAACAGCTCAAGCGGGACTCAGGACAGCCCCGTTGAAGCCATGTTGCACACAGAGGTTAGGCTTTGAGCAACTATTAGTTGTAGAACTCAAGAATGTTTGCTGCTAAACATAGGTGAACACTGAGGTCAAGACAAATAGGCAAAATATCTTGTTCAAAATGCTTTGGGCAGATCCCTCGTTTTTAAACTTCTATTTATGTTCCTTCCTCAGTGCTCTATTGATTTCTTAGTGTTTTCTGCAATGATTTGTGGAGCTTATGTGTCAATATAATCCCTTTGTAATTTGATACAGCTGATTTTTTTTAGTTTGTTGTTTATCTTTTAATTGAGTGTTTTTTGATACACAGGAGCTTTACACTTTCAGGTGATCAATTGTTTTTCTCTTTTGTGATTTTATATCACATTTTCATCCCCATCTGTTTTTCAGAGAAAATATTAAATACATATCTATATTTGATTGGAAGGAGTGTTTGGGGATTTTTTTTTTTTAACTCTTCAACTCATCTCAAATTGATCTTGGCATCTGGTATAAAGTGAAGATTTATTTTTTCCCCAAGGAATTCCTTGCACCAGGAGCTTAACCATAATTAGTAGGCATTTATAATTCCCTACTTGGATTCTGTGGAAACCATAAGAATGAGGAAAATACATTCCTGTCCCTGTGGTACTAGTCTTGGGAATGAAATGAGATTCACGAGCCATGGCAAACAGGTGTTGGGAAAGGGTACACCGTGACCTCTGGCTGCGGCACCATGAGGAATCCATTGTGGCCTAGTGCCCAGTGCATAACTCGGACAGGACCTCCTATTCTTTCTCAAGTTGACATTTGGCTACTAAGTTGGCGAGCAGCATAAGCTTGCCTCTCCATCGAACACACCATTGATGACAAGATAATCCTATTTGATACACACCAGCCACTGAAATACTGTTCAAATTGTATTTTAAAAAATCAGCTGTTTTATATTGACAAATGGCCATTACTTAAGGCCCGGAGTCAGAGTTTGAGATACTCTGGAGTTTACTATAAGTTAGGGAAGTGGGAGGGATAGGGGATGCTAAGACTGCGAGATGAGAATCTACAGACTTTTCGAGGTTGTGGAACAGGTTCGCATGTGTCTTTTAAAGATCTTTTTAAGAGCAGAATGTCTGTCCTTGGGATAACTTACGGAGATTCCTGCATTGAGGCAACAGGAAGATCTGGTTTCTCCAGCAAGAGTCACGTGAAAGGAAGCAGTTCTGACCGGTGACCCCAGTTGGCTTCCAGTTAAACACTGTGTCCACCACCTGGGGCTTAATGCAGCTTTCAACTCTCCTTAAAAACGGTGGCCACTGAGAAAGGAAAAAAACAATAATACGCATATATTAATGCATGTATGTGAAATACAGAGAAGTGGTACAGATGAACCTATTAATTGCAGGGCAGGAATAGAGACGTAGACACAGAGAAGGGACGTGTGGACACTACGTGAAAGGGAAGGGTGGGATGAATTGGGAGATTAGGATTAACATAAACACTACCATGTGTAAAATGGCCATGAGAGTTTGCCGTATAGCACGAGGAGCTCAGCTCAGCGCCCTGTGATGACCTAGAAGGTGGGAGGGAGGGGATATATACAGACATACAGCTGAGTCACTCTGTCTTACAGCAGAAACTAACAAAACACTGTAATGCAATTATACTCCAGTTTGAAAAAAAAAGTGGTTACTGGACTGTGGAGAACACAGCATCTTCGGGCACATGAGAGGGAGTGTTTGCTGTGGGGTCATTTCCCCGTCAAGGAGGCAGTCTCTGGAAGGAGATTCCCTTGTATGGTATTAGCCCAGGGTCAAATGACAGATGTGTAAAGTTATTTTGTCTTTGCTCTTTTGTAAACCCATCAGTTTAGCATGCAGGGTGCCACACACAGGGAGTGAGTTGCCTTGAGTAGTATGTGCTGGACATTTCCCAAGAGCAAAAATACAGCGCGAGAAAGTAGCAGAACATTTGTGTCTTTGACAGTTTTATAAAAGAGTCTTAAAAGGGAGGCTATTAAAGGCTGTGGTTAAAATTACTTATTTATAAGGCTGTTTGCATACTGTGAGAAAAGATGCCTCCATTCCAGAGATCAAGGGAAATAAAATGAACTAACTCAGGGTTAATGGCCAGTTTAAAAAAAGATTTGTAAAGGTTTATGGTCAGTAGAACCTTGTGTGGTCTGTATAAATGAGTGTTCAAGTTCCCTTAAAATGTGTGAGAGGCTGTCTGCAACTTTGCTTTATAAGAATATAAGCTAATATGTTCCTGGTGGGTGGTTTCCAACTGTATGTAGCTCAGTTATTTAGTGTCAAGGATTTTTAAAAATGTTTAGATCTTTTGCACATTTCAGGACGACTGGAAGTCTTTCTAGAACAACCCTCACTTGTAGAAAATCATTGTTTTCTTTGCCAACACAGAAAAGGTATTTGCAATGGGTTGAAAGCTAGGGATAGAGCACAGTCTGAGGTGATCAAATAGGCAGACAACAGAGCTTGACTTAACTCCTATCAGTGGTGTCTCGAGGTTTTATCATTAGATTCCAGTCATCTAAAAATCAATGCTTTGTTCTTCTTCCTTTTAGGAAAAGCTGTGTCTACCCCATCACATCCTTGAAGAGAAAGGCCTGGTCAAAGTGGGCATTACCGTTCAAGCGTTGCTAGATGTAACTGTAACGAAGGCTCTTTTCACATGAGACCAACTCCTCTCCTTTGGGTCGGCTCAGACGCTTTTCTGGTCAGAGACCCTGGACTCTGCTCTCAGCACCGGTCCCCTCCACCTTCCCACTCCCTGCTCCTCTTGACGGAAGGACATGAGAGATTTCCCACCTTTCGTGACTGACTCCGACATTAAGGTGAGACAGGTAATTACCTAAAACCCATGAGGGAGCTGGTTGTGAAGAACGGAGCAGCACATCAATGCCTTCTACAGCCTCCTTCATCCCTTCCACGCTCACCCACTGCCATTACCAAAACACCAAGCACAGCCCTTCTGCAGCAAGATGCATTTGTTTTTATTAAAACCAAACACATTGTGTATTTAGTGGGGGAGGGGGGTGGAGGGAATGGAACTCAATCAGGTTTTTCGCCACCAAATTTTTCAAGAAGTTTCTTGAGACCATTGCCTTTAAAAAAAAAACAAAACTATTTTCGACATACAAAATATTTATATAAATATTATTTATTAGTGAGTTGTTATTCATCCTTTGGATGCAAATTGTAAACTAGGAAACTATTTTATTACTGCTTTTTTGTGGTTAAACACTTTATTTTAATATTATAAATATTGAGTTATTTTCTATCCTCTTTGGTGTGCAAGTAATTCTAGGTCTCCATAGTCATGTTTTCTGATGTATATGACTCAAAAAAAAAATTTAAGCAAAAAAAAAAACAGGTGCTTCTGTGACAAGAACTGTTTTCTGGGGAGGCATTATTTACACTTTGGTTTATGGAACATTGGTCTTATTTATATTTCTGCATTCCATCCAGCTTCCTACATTCCAGCAGCCCTGTTGTCCCCTGATATAATGAACTGACTGAAATCAAGAGAGCACCCCAAAGTTATTTGTAAATAGCTGTGATGGAAAAAAAGACATATTAAACTTGAATATAAAAATGTGAACAATTCTTTTTTTGGGTTCATACTTATTTTGCTATGCACAAAACATTCACGTTTTAACGCAAAGAAGTAACGAGTGTTGGCCTCATGTGTCTTGTCGTGTAATTTTGCACTGGAACCTGGGTAAAAGTCTAGCACCAAAGGTAGGTAATAAGGAAGTGGTGTAGGAGAGTGGAGAGGAGAAAAAGATGATTCTGTAACCAAAAAGTTTTTTAAGGGCAGCTTCGTTGAAGAGTGATCAAGAAGTAACTTAAGATACAGAGGACCTAGGTCAGGAAACCAGCGCTTTCTACAGCTGCCCATTTTAAAAAAGGCAACAGTTCTGAGATGCAGACGTGCTTGTTTTATTGCAGCTTTAGCTGGTGGATTTCAAAGTAGCTCATAAAACACTGTAAGACTCCAAGGTCTGGTGTGAAACCGCTGAAGTGAGTCAGTGAATTGGTGGGGCAGGTGGATGCAGCACCAAGGTAGGCGCAGGAAAAGGTGAAGTAAGCAGTATTTGTGAGCCGAAGGGCCCAGGAGGGAGCAAGTTCACAGAAAACAATGAGTTGAGAAAACCCAGCAGAGGAGAGGGATCCGTGTTGGTCTGAGGGAGACACGTTAAGACTTCACAGACACACAACCTATTTTAGGCTGTTACATGCATGTGCACTCACCCTGCAGGTACAGATTTACCAGGAATTCGTTTTTCAAAGTCTTGTGAATGCTGACTGCACCTTTGCCTCTATGAAAAGCCATTGTTGAGTTTTTAGAGCAGCAGCAGTCACAAGTTGTAAGAAAAGACAGATGTGAACACAAAAGAAACAGACCAGGAGGACAGTATGCGTTGAACACAGACACATCAGCCGATGCCAGGGCTGCCCTCCCGTCTGGGCAAGGGGGAGGGGGCGCTGAAAACAGTCGTTTGGATTGGCAGCTAGCAGTTACTTCCTATCAAATGTACTGTGCACTTTAACCTAATTTAAAATATATCTTAATGTTTTCCTGTACTGCACAAATACCTGTTTTGTCAAATAGCATAACAATGTAAAAAAAAAAAAGAGAAAACACTTTGAACAAAGAGCGTATTCAATGTAAGCCACAGTCAGAGGTTGATGATAGAAATAGGAATTCAGATGACTGCACCTTGATGGGCATTGAGAATGCAGGGTCCTGAAGTATTTTTTTTAACATGTATATATGGCAATATGAAACTCTGTAATCCTTGTTTTGAAAGTTTTTTTTCAGAATTAAAATATTTCTTTTGATACTAATTTTCAGTATTTTCTTGCAGTTGGCTGTATAATATGAATGGCTTCAATATTTTGTAAAATGGTTTTTTTTTTTCCTCTTCAAAATGGAATCCTTTGTGTGGCTAAGATGTCTTCAAGATCTTTGTCCATTGCTTATATGTGCAATATGATGTGCATGGCCGGCTGACAGTGCCCTAAGTGGACAGAATATGCACAGTGCAAATATCCTTCCTTTTATGATTTAACAGCCATTAAAACTTTGAATTTGTACAAGGCATCTTCTGATTGACTTACCCATCAGATGCAGAAAAGAAATCCAGAGTGTCACTGATGAAACAGATTGTAGCAATCATCTAGTGTATATATATGTTTTTGTGTTATGTATTGTGAAATATAAATATAATATGCATATACAGGATAGGACAGTTTTTATCCAAACTAAGATCTCCCCTGGAACCCACAGAACATACAGCACTCGAGCAGAGTTGCTGTGATTGGGGGGGGCAGGTGAGGGAGGGCAGCTGGGGTCCATGCGTACATCAGACCTCTCCACTTGCCCCTTGGGTAGTGGCCCCAGAAGTGTCCTTGAGGAAGTCTGAAGGTTCTGTGATGCTTGCTGTGAAACTCTGGGGTCTGGTCCTCCCTCCCAACTGTCTACTGAGGAATCCAACCCTCAGGGAGTGCAGTGGCTTCCTGATTACACCTCCCATGAATCCAGGTTGGTGTTACCATTTTCCCCACACGTCCAGCCTACCTCTGGGAGAAGAGCAGCTGTTTTGAGGAATTCAAGGGAAAACAGGGACAGATCATTTCTGCTTTCTTGCCCCGCCCCAACCCACACACAAGGGCTGAGACCCACAACCTGAGCAGGGACGGCTGGGACCAGTCAGGGCCTCGACACTTACGAACCATATCTACTGAGTCAGAAAAGCAATACCCGGCCTGTGAGTCTCTTGACTGGAAGTGCTGCTACTTACCCAAAGCTTAGCCATCTTGGTCTCTTGCACATTAGAGGAGTCCAGTGCTTTGCAGATGCTTTGCGTTGTAAGTTGACCGGAATGACTGTGAAGGACACGGGGGAAGATGGAAGTGGGAGCACTGGGGGGAGCCTGGCAGGGCGTGTTTGCATCAGGGTCACCCTTGCAGTTCAGCCACACAACACTGACCACAGCTGGGGACTGTCCCAGAGACTGAATTCCAGTCACCAGCTGTATCTGAGCACTTCCCAGTTTCTCCTGGGGTGAGATTAGGGCAGCAGTGATGCCAGTGGGACTGGTTATCTAATCTATCTTCCACTGGAGGTCAGCTAGCAGAGATCAGGTCCCGTTGGCTGTGGGTAAGGCAGGATTCCCCTCTAAAGAGTTCTCTGTACTCCCCACACTCACATGCTAACGGGCCACCTAAATAGCCAGAATTTATGGAGTGGTTCCTGTGAGTCCAGTGTTTTTTCTGAACTTTCAGTTCAGTCGCTCAGTCATGTGCAACTCTTTGCGACCCCATGGTCAGCAAAGGCCTCCCTGTCCATCACCAACTCCCAGAGCTTGCTCAAACGCATGTCCATTGAGTTGGTGATGCCATCCAACCATCTCATCTTCTGCCGTCCCCTTCTCCTCTCGCCTTCAATCTTTCCCAGCATCAGGGTCTTTTCCAATGAGTTGATTCTTCACATCAGGTGGCCAAAGTATTGGAGTTTTAGCTTCAGCATCAGTCCTTCCAGTGAATATTCAGGATTGATTTCCTTCAGGATTGATTGGTTGGATCTCCTTGCAGTCCAAGGGACTCTCAAGAGTCTTCTCCAACACCACAGTTCAAAAGCATCAAGTCTTCAGCGCTCAGCTTTCTTTATAGTCCAACTCTCACATCCATACATGCTACTGGAAAAACCATAGTTTGACTAGACAGACCTTTGTTGGTAAAGATCCTGAACTATAAAGGTTCTGAACTATCAGTTCAGTTCAGTCGCTCAGTTGTGTCCGACTCTTTGCGACCCCATGAATCGCAGCATGCCAGGCCTCCCTGTCCGTCACCAACTCGCGGAGTTTACTCAAACTCATGCCCATTGAGTCGGTGATGCCATCCAGCCGTCTCATCCTCTGTCGCCCCTTCTCCTCCTGCCCCCAATCCCTCCCAGCATCAGGGTCTTTTCCAATGAGTCAACTCTTCACATGAGGTGGCCAGAGTACTGAAGTTTCAGCTTCAGCATCAGTCCTTCCAATGAACACCCAGGACTGATCTCCTTTAGGATGGACTGGTTGGATCTCCTTGCAGTCCAAGGGACTCTATAAAGAGTCTTCTCCAACACCACAGTTCAAAAGCATCAATTTTTCGGCACTCAGCTTTCTTCACAGTCCAACTCTCACACCCATACATGACCACTGGAAAAACCATAGCCTTGACCAGACGGACCTTTGTTGGCAAAGTAATGTCTCTGCTTTTTAATATGCTATCTAGGTTGGTCATCACTTTCCTTCCAAGGAGTGAGCGTCTTAATTTCATGGCTGCAGTCACCATCCATAGTGATTTTGGAGCCCCAGAAAATGAAGTCTGACACTGTTTCCACTGTCTCCCCATCTATTTCCCATGAGGTGATGGGACCAGATGCCATGATCTTAGTTTTCTGAATGTTAAGCTTTAAGCCAACTTTTTCACTCTCCTCTTTCACTTTCATCAAGAGCCTTTTTAGTTCCTCTTCACTTTCTTCCATAAGGGTGGTGTCATCTGCATATCTGAGGTTATTAATATTTCTCCCGGCAATCTTGATTCCAGCTTGTGCTTCTTCCAGCCCAGCATTTCTCATGATGTACTCTGCATAGAAGTTAAATAAGCAGGCTGACAATATACAGCCTTGACGTATTCCTTTTCCTATTTGGAACCAGTCTGTTGTTCCATGTCCAGTTCTAACTGTTGCTTCCTGACCTGAGTACAGGTTTCTCAAGAGGCAGGTCAGGTGGTCTGGTATTCCCATCTCTTTCAGAATTTTCCATAGTTTATTGTGATCCACATAGCCGAAGGCTTTCACATAGTCAATAAAGCAGAAATAGATGTTTTTCTGGAGCTCTCTTGCTTTTTCGATGATCCAGTGGATATTGGCAATTTGATCTCTGGTTCCTCTGCCTTTTCTAAAACCAGTTTGAACATCTGGAAGTTCTCGGTTCACGTATTGCTGAAGCCTGGCTTGGAGAATTTTGAGCATTACTTTACTAGTGTGTGAGATGAGTGCAGTTGTGCGGTAGTTTGAGCATTCTTTGGCATTGCCTTTCTTAGGGATTGGAATGAAAACTGACCTTTTCCAGTCCTGTGGCCACTGCTAACCATTAAAACACGGCTGCGGTGATAAAAAAAAAAAAAATTAATAAATTAAAAAAAAAAAAA